AAATGTATATATATAAAAATTTTGGTCGTATAAGTAAGAGTAACAAACATACATACATTCATACATCTCTATAAACTTTTGCATTTGTAATATTAGTACAATTTACCTCAACTTACCTTAAAACAGCGATGCAAGCGCAATACTACGCCAATTTGTTGTTAAAACAAGCGTAGCGTTAGATACTTGCTATCGTAATCCACGCCTTTTAGCATTAACACTGCAAGTTCGCATATCTACATTTGTAAGGCGATGCATATGTTTACCAACCTACTACATAACGTAACATAACATCACGCTTTTATCCCGGTAGGCAGAGGTGCACACAGAAGTAACACCCACTTTTCACTATTTATGTTATGAGTCCCATGTAATAGGGGGTGAGTATATTGCCATATACCGGGCACAATTCCAGACTCCGTGCTACTACTGTGACTTTTTTTAACAACCCAGTAATACTTTACCCGACACGGGAATCGAACCCGAGACCCTTTCCCAGGCAGTCGCACTTGCGACCACTCAGCCAATGAAGCAGTTATCATTCACATATCTTTACAATCACGACATAAAACTGGATGCTAATATTATGGACTTATAAAGGTACAAATTGGATGTAATCGAAGTATAAATAACAGTTCCAATATACTATAGATCATAGTAAGAGAAGTACACAAACAAGTACCTATAAAGAAGTAAAATTACAAAAATGAATTTGCTTCTATTCTTATGTATAGTGCTCGTAGCTAACGGGATTGCTGCCAATGTGAACAGAAAGGTAATTATAATTTTAATTTATATAATTCATGGTAGATGTCGCACCTACACGCACGAAGCGCTTCGCATCAAGCTTCCTTGTGCGTACTGCTAAGGAGGGGAGTTCTTTGCCAGAGTCTGTATTTCCTGGGTGTCTTCAAGGCCCGTGTAAATAGGTTGCTTATGGGTATACGTGCGCCATCGTAGGCTGCTTCATCAGGCCAGATAGTGGTTATATGTCGACCCATCAAATATAAAAAATAGCTATAACAAAGTGATGTCGTTCACCTATGGATCAACATCTTTTGATACTGTCGGTCGTTTGATATAGCTGAACTGTGTGATCTGTGAAGCGCGGTAGGATCCTGTAATACCATCATTCCAATGTTATTCTAAATATCGTATAAATTGACCTAAGGGACTGGAGGACTGGTCGTGGGTTTAACTTCAGTATGGAACAGTTCTTTTTTTGAAACATACATTGTTTTACCGGGCCTGGGTGTAATGTGGGTGTCAAATTATATACTTGTAAACGCAACTACGATACAGGAGAAAATCGTTGTGTGGTTAACGTAAAGGAGTACTAGGCGCCTTTTGATGTTTTTCCCCGACATTAAAAAAAAGGCCTTCCTACTTATTACTGAGATTTTCGTAAATCTTAGAGACCATCGACTAAAAATTCTATTTGACAAATAACGAAACAAAGAAGATTAACCTAAAAATTTATTCACAGGATAAAGAGATCCACCAGATCCTGCATAAAGTACCAAAAATAAACGAATACTTTACGGAATGCATTGTACAAACGAGAATAGGTGACGATGATGCGGAAAATGTAACTTTATTACCAGAGGAAGAAGATCGAATTGCGAATAAACTGACTCATTGCCTTTACCGTAAGGCAGGTATTTTAGGGAATGATGGAACATTAAATGTTGATGCTGCAAAATCTATATTAAATCTTATTGGAGTAGAACAAGATGCAGTGGATAAAATTGTTAACAAATGTACAAGTACCGCTGGTATTGAAGGACCAGATATGGCATACGCTATCTTCAGATGTTTCGAAGACGGTGTTCTTAATTGAAATCAATTTCTTTTGAACTACACTAACAAATACTCAAATAATGATAAGGGTTTTTCTGTTTCCTAATTTGTATTATATGGAAGGTTTATACACTAGAGACTACAGTCCTCGTGATTTCGAATTAGATTATGGTTCGGTCACAATTTGATTTAGGGTGTAAGTAGTAATACGTGGATTCGATCTCGATGTTTAACAATAAGCTCATTACTAGAAAAATACACCTAATATGTAATTCTCATTTATGATAATTTATTTTTTTAAAGTTAAGGCTTTTTAGATTCCTTGGGGTGTCTAGTTATCTGAAGAGCGAGTTGGGTACGCATCGCAGTGTTTAGTTAAGTTTAACCCGTCGTGTGTCTAAGCGTGGATCCATGCGAGACACAATGTATTTTCTATTGTGTCTTAATTCAAGGGGTTAAATTAGCAACGCAATATTTACAACCATCGAGTTTAAATTCCAATCTGATGAAATGTACTGAAAAAAGAATTCAACAATTTTATGATTAAAACATTTTACTTAATTTCCGTATTATTTCTTAAAATATCATGTAGGCAGATACAGTAGTGGCTCTTTTATGTATCTTCCCTAGATGCACTTAAGAACATAATCTTTATGATCTGTACCCGTTTTCTCTAAACTTGGCAAAGCATAGAGGATAATATCCTTACTAATCCTTATCCTTACTAATATTATAAATCGGAAAGTGATTTTGTTTGTTTATTTGTTTGTTCTGCTTTCACGCCGTAACTACTAAACTAATTACTTTGAAATGTTGTAGACGTAAAGTTATAAGTTTGGATTAAATAATAGAGTACTTTTTATCCCGGAAAAAATTGGTATTCTCGTGGGATAACAAAATATTGGTATAGATGGAGCTGTGTGGATCGGTATAGATGGCGCTGTATGTCATTTAAAACAAGTCAACGAATTACCCACTAATTGGAAATCTCACGCTTTAATCTATAGCGCTACCTACACTTATTCGGTGCACTTTTCGACTCATTTATTTGCCGTTTTATAACTCAACCAATTACCAATTGTTATCTATATGTACCTATAGTAGTTACGCTACTTAGCGATAGATGACGCTGGAAGTTAAATAAACTTGGTAACGTTGTGTTTTTTAAGTACTTTTCGTTTTTAAATTTTGTTTCCTACCACTTAACATTAAATTGCGTATTTTATAGATTATAGGTTGTTAAAAGTACCTTATCCGGTGCAATTTTCGACTGATTTATATGCTGTTTATAAGTCAACGAATTACTAAATGGTGTAAGTAGTAGTTACACTACTTAGCGATAGATGGCGCTGGCCCTTTATATACTTGGTAACGTTGTGTTTTTTTAAGTATTTTTCGCTTTTAAATTTTGGTTCCTACCATTTAAGATTAAATTATGTATTTTATAGATCATAGGTTGTTAAAGGAACTTAGTCGGTGCACTTTTCGACTCATTTATTTGTCATGTTTAAAAGTCAACGAATTACTAATTGGTGTATATAATAGTTACGTTACGTAGCGATAGATGGCATTGGCCCTTTATATACTTCGTAATTAAGTAGGTATTTTTCGCTTTTAAATTTTGGTTCGTACCATTTAACATTAAATTGTGTATTTTATAGATTATAGGTTGTTAAAGGTACCTATTCGATGGACTTTTCGACTCATTTATATGCTGGTGTCTATGTAGTTGTTACGCTACTTAGCGATAGATGGTGCTGGAAGTTAAATAACTTGGTAACGTTGTGTTTTTTTAAGTACTTTTCGCTTTTAAATTTTGTTTCCTGCCACTTAACATTAAATTGTGTATTTTATAGATTATAGGTTGTTAAAAGTACCTTATCCGGTGCAATTTTCGACTCATTTATATGCTGTTTATAAGTCAACGAATTACTAAATGGTGTATGTAGTAGTTACGCTACTTAGCGATAGATGGCGCTGGCCCTTTATATACTTGGTAACGTTGTGTTTTTTTAAGTATTTTTCACTTTTAAATTTTGGTTCCTACCATTTAAGATTAAATTATGAATTTTATAGATCATAGGTTGTTAAAGTACCTATTCGGTGCACCTTTTGACTTATTTATTTGCTGTTTTATAACTCAACGAAATACTAATTGGCATTTATGTAGTAGTTACGCTACTTAGCGATAGATGGCGCTGGGTATTTTTAAAACGTGATAACATTAAATTGTGTATTTTATAGATTTTAAGTTGTTAAAGGTACCTACACGAAATCATAATGTCAACAATCCCAACAATTTTAGCAAATAAATTGTACGCTGTTGTTTCAACGCTCGTTAGATGGCGTTAGGATCGGGTTAGATGGCGCAATGGTTTCGTTACCGGTGAAAGTATAGGTTCCGATTTCCAAAATAATTATAAGTTTTTCCAGTGAAGTAGTCAACGGCCTTAGCGTGCTGAACTACGAGTGGTCCTACCTTAACAAAAAAAAAAAAATATTTTGATGTAACTAAGCATCTAGCACTCTGTGATTGATATTTTTGCTCGCTCAATTGATTAGTTAAGTGTTTTATTTCTAGGTAGATATTATTATCTAAAGTAGTTATTGTTTCTTTGTTTAAAGTCGCTTTGTTCATTGTTTAGGTTTATTAATACAGTAGCTGTATATTAGTTGGGTGAAGTCTTTTAAATTTAAATGGGAGAATGATATTTGTGGTAATGTAACTCCTTCTGTATGTTGTTCTTTCACACCTAAACGGCTCAACGGATTTTGAAGAAATTTGGTATGAAGAAACAAAAAAA